TCATTCTTGCATGATTTAAAATGTATGAGATGAATTTATTTGTGTTCATTAAATACAGATGGTGAGAAAAACCCAGATGATCCACTCTCTGGATCATGAGTTACGTTTTCAATAAATCCTTCACAAGTGGCACTGAATATGGAGTTGGAGTGGCAGGGGAGGTGTGCTACAGTAAGAGCACTTCTTTTAAGAGTTATTTGTACTGCAGAGATTGTGGTTAGCTAGTTAACAATTAAATCTCCTAGTCTTATCATAAAAACCTCAATAAAATTAGTTTAACTTCTCCTCATATCTATAAATGGAATAAAAAATAGTTGCTGGTTACTATGTGAACACTTCATCATTACTGTACAAAAGTGATTTTCAGAGCTGCAATACCATTCCTTCCTTAGACCAGAAAATTTTCAGGCATCCCTCACCTATTTAAAACTGTCAAGGCAACAGCAGAAGAAAACCAGTCCATATCACGAATGAAAACATGACTACCTAAGGAAATCACTTCCTGATCTCCTTCCTAAGAAAACAGCAAGGAAAAACATATAGTTGCACATAAAAAGAGAGAGGAAGCAATCAGTAACTGGGAAGTATGTGTGAAGTTGTCAAGCCAAGTTTATCGTGCATTCCCTAAGGTTAGCACTTGTAAGTGATAAAAATCTAGCAAAGGTTAAGGAAAAGTGCCATCAAACTCGTCTGGCCAGTGCATGCTGAGAGTCAGACAGGGAACTGTACCGCTGTCCCACATGACCTACAGTCCATGTTGGAAAACTGTTAATCCCACTGAATGCAGAGCATCTGTTCCTACCTAAGAACAAAAAGGCATTAATCTCCAGCTGCCACTAAAGTCTGAAATTAAGTGGAGGTAAAAATGTCTAATTTGCAATGGGTGTCATTAACATTCTGTTGTTTAGTAGGAATCATCCCAGTTGCTAATTTCAGAATTAATAACCACCTTATTTTTCCTCCCAGATTTGCCCATATTATTCAGAAACTCCAGCAAACCTGAAGACAGCTTCCCCAAGTCAGGCTTTCAGATTTTTAGGCAATGAACTGCAAGCACCCACAACTGGTACTTATATAAGGCCCTTTCTGGATACTGTTTCCATAATTTCAAATTCTGACACTAATAATTTCCACACAGCTAATAAAACAAACATATGCAAACAAACAAAAAACAACAGCTCAATGTGAATGAAAACTACCTGTCATTTTCCCAGGATTACTGAATCAGGCTGAATTCCAGAGCTCCATAATGATACCATTTGACAAAATCAGATGAAAGGGTTCCTGCACACATTTTCCAATTAGGTGTCTATTGAAGTTGCCACTATTCTCCACTCAGAATCTTCAAAGAGCTAATCTTTTCCTACTTTCTGCAACTGAATGCTCCCTGAAGAGTTGAAAAAGGCATTGCATGAAGATAAATTGAGGGTAAGCATTACTGAAAAGAAGCCATAAATACTGTTAGATCAATATATGCACATAAAGATAGAGAACAAGTAAAGGGGGACACTGTCTTTTAATAAACCTTGGAATTAAAAAGTCACTTAATAAAACTGTGGTTGTATCACATGAAAAAGTTTACATGCAGGTCACTTATCTCTGATTATTCCCCCCCCCCGCCCCCATAGAAAATGAAAAGCTGTGTTAAAACCCACACCGTTTGTCTGCTGTGGCCAGCTGGGGTCTGCTCTGAAGGGGCTGCATGAAGTCAGCTTAAATTAATCAAGAAATCCTTAAGTATGAAAGAAACTCCAACTAATAACAAATAAAATATATATTTTTATAATTTCAGGTCCTCAAACGAAATTGTGAAAGAGCTTGAACAACTTTTTGAGTCATCATGAAAGAGCCCGATTTTAGCATCTTATTATGCAATAAGATGCTAAATTTATGATGCAATTTGGTTAGAATGCCAGTTTCTTCAAGAAACTGATATTTCAGATAAAAATAGCAAGATCCTCTTAAAATGAAAATTCAACTGCTTTGTCACCACTCTGTTAATCATTTTTTATGAAGACAAAAGGCATTGTTACAATGGCTCAAAATCGTTCCTTTAGTTAGAAGTAGAATTGGTCAACAGGTTGATTGCATCTTCTAGCTGGCAAAGGTCTTTCCCACATCTTCTTTCCCTTTGTATTTCCTCTTTCCATGTGTGAAGGGTATATATCTGTACTTTATCATGTGCTGGAAAGAGAAAAGAGCAATTTTTGAGGCAAGAAACCTACATAATGTCTACAAAAATGTTTTAAAACACACATGGTAAATTACAAAGTCCTCTAGACAGACAGGTCTTCATTTCAGAAGTTCATTTCTTCATTTTCATTTCATTTTCCTCTAGACAGACAGGTCTACAGTTCTACTGTAAAGGCAGTGAAACAGCTAATCATACACCAGCTCACATCTAAATAGGAGCAGGAGCCCAATCTTATACATCTCAAATTTGGATATACCCAACAACTTACACAGTACAGTGAAGACTACTGATTGGGGGATCACAGGAAACTGGAGAGAGCACAGAGGAATTAATTCTTTACTAGTCTTTAGTTTGCAACTTTGAGTAACAGTACCTATCCAAAATCCTGAATGTCTGGGAAAAAATTTGGTTCTCTTTTCAAAATGCCAACAAACCATAAGTAATTGTTAAAAATGGTCTGAACGACTTGCCCATGCTCTTCTTCCCCTTCTCTCCATCTACTTTCTACACCAGCTTGTCAGAACTTCCCTTTTCACCCATCAGAGATCCCACGACACCTCTTCATTAAAAATAGCCATAGTTAATGGAAGAAAGGAAGTGGATGAGAAATTTTAAGACTCATCCTGCATAAAAACCAGATATTGAATTCTACGATCAAAACCTTTTGAAAGCAGGCATAAAACTTTGTAATATGGTGTACGAAGACCTCTTTTGTCATGTATTTTTGTTTCCCATTGTCATTATTTGCTCAAAGTCGCAAATATGCAACACTTGAACTAATGTTCAAGTTCAAGTTCACTTGAACTAGTGTTCAAGTGTTAGTTGTTCAAGTTCCTCCAGTAATTAATACCTCTGAAGTGCTCGACTGGCTGGACAGTTTGGAGCAGCACTTTAAATTCTGACATCACAAACATTCTGACATCATATCTATTCTTGGCAAGTTACCTTGATTTGCCTCTTCATAGTGATACAAAATAGCATAATGAAGTACATCACAAGGATTGGCCAAAAAACAGGAACGTTGAAAGCCTCGAAGAATGTACATGCCATAGCAACCAGGATTCCTTTAGTGGCAGAGTGCCTTAAAAATAATATTAACAATTAATTCCTTCAACCCCAGCTACTACTAACTTGATATGCAGACATCATCAAACTGTTTATCAGTTCGGGCTGGAACTAGATGGTCTTTAAGGTCCCTTCCAACCCAAACCATTCTGTGATTCTGTATTTTTCAAAAACAGAGTGTGGGCAGGCAGATCCACTCACCAGAATTTAAACTCTGGGAGCCTTCTAATGAAAGGCCGAAATTCTTCATTTTGCCTTGTAGGTAAGGAAGGACCATCATCTGAATAAAACAGAAAAAAACACCAAACCACAAATCCCCTCACACTAATTTTCCACACTATTTGGACTCCAGATTTTATTTTTTAACTTTTTAACTTTTTTTTTTTTTTAAAAAAAAAAGCACCCAACTTTCACTGTTACACACAGATTCCAGTTACAGTAGCTGTTTTAATGTAACTTAATATTGATTTCCCAAAAGAAAACAGAGACCAGGAATCACTGCCAGGTCACTCGAGTTACTACAGGGAGAACATAAGTCACATAAACCTTCTTTCAAAATAGAAAAAACTAATACACTACGGAATATGTTCAAGTGCTGAAAAAAAAAAAAACCAGACAAATTTGATAGTAACTCCTGATGTCAAGTTGTACAGATTTTTTGCAAGTCTAAAAATACAATGTCATGCTAAAATTGCACATCTTTACACTATTGTATCAGACAAAAAGAGCTGGAAAATGAACCATACATCATACCTGAATCTTCCATTAAAGAGGGGTCTACCTTTGGCGACAGGAAAGCTATGAAGAGATTTAGATGGTAGATTCCCAAGGCATATGTCACGATGTACCAACCCTGACACAGAAAGGAGAAAAGCTGAGGTTAAAGTCTTCCTGAAAACCATTTCCAGACACTGATTTTTCAACAAGATTAAACAGTCTGGTTTTTTGCTTCCTTGAGAAGTGCTTTTCTATATCCTCACATTAACGCAAAAAGTTTTCTGGACTTCTTAAAAAAAAAAGTTTAAAATTCTCACTATGTAAAATAAGCACTCTGACTCTAAGAAAAGATGAAATCACCTTTATGAATCTGTTTCTGTTTTTTGTGTACTGACACATAACATGGGTAAGAGTTTTCCTTTAAAGCTACCTAAACATTGACTAAACTTATTGCAATACAAATAAGCAAAATAAACCCCAATAAAATCCATTAGCCCTTTGAAGCAGATTTTCTAAGGTATCATACTGCAAACCTGATATATTAATCCAAACAAACCTTAGAACATGAGAGCAGTGCAAATCCCTCATGTATTGACAGATTTAATGTGAAAGCTTTTCTCAGCCATTCAGGCTCTCTGTTCAGGATGCAGACGTCGTAAAAGCCGCACAAAAGTAGTGAACAGCATAAAACCCTCAGGTTTTGAATCATCTTTACAGGCTTCAGTCTCTTAAACGTTCCTGTTACTACCACTTTCACATTCAGTCTGTAACCTTTGGGTTTTGGCAATAACGATTCTCAAGTTCTGAAATGAATTGTGGCTTGGCATGAAACGGAGGCAGCTGAGGAGCAGAGAAATGGTTTGCCACTGGCCTGCAGTGGCAAAAGGCTGAAAGAGAATTCTCCATGCCTTGCATGGCAGAAGGTAACCCCTGGCTCTTGAACATGCTGTCATACAGCTTTTATATAGAAGTAAAAACTCCGTTGCAACAGACTTTTCACAGGTTTGTTATGTAATTTCATCAGAACTAGTGGAGTATTTCCACTTTCTGCTGCCATCAGATATGGAATAGCCTCAAGCATCCACATACTCTCCACTCTGAAGCAGTAAATTTAACACCAAGCTGTGTTTGTTCTTCAGATTAATTTACCTTCTACTGTGTGCTAAATTATCTAGTCCCAAAGTAATGCCATACTTCCAAACCACTCTTAGCACAAAAACCAGAACTGTAACGATACCTAAAACTACGTTAGCAGTAAATACAGTTTTCTCACCTGTAGTAAATAAACTCTAATCATGTAGATAAAACTCAGACCCAAAGTGACAATCCATCGCACTGCAGTATATGGAGTAGATTTGTCTAACCAGGACTGGTAGATCTAAGAAGAAACATAAAGTGTACATCTGAAACATACGTGATGCACACTGAGTAAATTTTACTACAGGGTAGCATCAGAAATAGCTAGCATTTGTGAAGAGTATTTTGGGAAGGAGAGTAACGTGAAACATTTCTATTCTTTACTACAAATAAACTGAATTACAAACATACTTGCAAGCATTTGAAAACTTCTATATTTTTACAAAGGAAAAAAAAAATTCCTAATGCTTGAGGCATCATAAAGCAATTTAAATTGTCAATATTTTAGGCAAGTTCACTTTCCTTAAGAAGAATCTGACACGAAATCTGAAGTCACTCCTCGTTTTTGACAATAACAACTTATATTTTCAGTGCGCAGTGTCACATATAAGCACATTAAATATTCCACTAAGCTTTGTATTATAATGTTTGTTACCTATTTTTAAAAGGCTTAAAAAAAAATCTTTTGAACAGATTTTAGTGTTTCAACAACTCATCCAAGAAGTAATGAGTTTAAAAACCTGCACTGAGGGCTGCTTCTAACAGCATCCGAAAAACTCGACAGAAAACCCACCTGTCCAAGTCTTGAGAAGAATCTATAGACCACAGAAGGCTTTCCATGCACGGAATCACCAATGCTGTCCCCTTCTGACATGGTTGCTGGGGAAACAAAACATGATACAGAGGTAACATTTAAAAAACCCCATAAATCTAAGCTCAGCGAAGCTTTATAGTGCATTATCTGAACTAGCATTTACATACGACACTCTTTGGGATTGCCCTGTTTGAAACAAATTATTTTAAATGAAGTAGTCTTAAAATGAGGACATTTATTCCAAAAAAAAATTAATTTCCGAAAGAAACTGTCACGAAAGCAAAGAACAGGGTATTTTACAAAGGCAAGACAGGATCCAATTCATTTTAGGGAGGGGAAAAAAAAAAAGGCAATACAGAAATGCAGGAATGAGCCTTGTTAGCCATTTTCACCTTGATAAGGCAGGAGCTGAGTTATAACATCTAAGCATTGAGATATGAACTGCAGCACCACCCTCCTGTCACCTCAGTTTCTAAAGGCAAAGAAAAAACCAAAATAAATATTTTTTTAAAAAGATGCTTAGGATTTTTGAATACTGAGTAACTAGATAGTGAGAAATTTTAAGCCCAAGAGCCTGTACACCAGTGGTCACAGACAGAAGGACTCTACTCTAAGAACCTGACCCAAAACACTGCCATTGCTAGAATTATTCAATGAGTTTCTCTCTCTCTCAAACACAAAGAGCTCAGCAGTCACCGAAAAGATTTATGCACGAGAAAACCTGTATAGTAAAGGGGCTGTATTCTGAACTCAGGTAAAAAAAATAACCAAGGGAATTGTTTCCATACATGCTTCTGCTACCAATTTAAGATCTTCATTTTTCTTTTCAGTTAAGCTCAACTAAGTTTTACAGTTCACACCAAGACATAAACCAAACAAAATAAAACAGATACTGAACAGAAACCTTTCTGCCACATCACCAAAAGCAATCCCTGACACTACTTCCTGGAGTTCTCATCTGTGGGTGGGACTACATAATTCCGGGATAGTGGGAGTACTTACAGCTCCGTGTTAGTGTCTCAAGAGCATAATAAAGACACATGAACCAGTACTAAACTGGAAAAACGTCAATTATCTCAAATGCTGCAACACAGTGACTGCTGCAAAAAAGTAGTTTGAGACCAAGGACAATCTGGGGAGGCACAGAACCTTCAAGTTGTGAATTTTTTCTGTGAACACTTGAAAACTACATCCTATGGAATAATCAGTAAGTAGGAAAAAGGAGTCCTATTACACTTCACAAGATAAGGGGACTCATTACGAGGCTTCTGGAGCTGCAGTCCACTTTAATTCAAGCTATAGCTAAAAAGAAAAAAAATCAGATAGAAATTTATACAGTATAGACATTTTCATTACGGGCAGAAGGAAGGAATTGTTATTCTCCCCCTTCACTGCACTGCAGAAGAAAGAAATTACTCAGCATTATTAGCTGAGCATAATTTTGTGCTTTATTTTGTTTTTTTTTTTTTTTAAAAGTCCATAAGTATAAAGCCCTAACAAAAAGACACTCGATCCATTGATCAGATAGCCATTCTCTAAAGATCACAAGCATAGAAACTCTCACATTCTCACAATTAATTTCACAGACACATCCATAGCAACTATGGGCTGTAAGCAGCTAACACTACAACCTCGCAAACGTTAACCTGTGCAGATCAAGTGGAGAACCATGTACGTGAGGCTACTGATGGCTTTCTGATGGCGCAGGCGTTTTGCTCAGTGGGAAAAATCACGTTACACGTGATTAAGTACGATTGTTTACCACACACACAGTCCTTCCTCAGCACACCAAGAAACACAACCAGCTCACACTGTTTTACCTAAAAGAAACCTCTCAGCAGCTCGGTTTAAGTAGCACGGACTGAAGTACATCACATCCACAGCTTAGAATTGAAGTTAATGCTTTTTGTCACATTAAATTTACGGAAAGGACATCTGTAACTAGCTGATTATCAAGAAAAGCACTCTCTGGCATTGCTCTGAAGGCAGTTTGCAGCTAACATGAGGCAGCTCTCACTGGTTTAGGGCAATAATTAGATTTAAACAGCAGCAATCCCTCTTTCATAATGTAACAGAACAATTTACTGTTCAGCATAATGAGTCACAATAACCCTTCAGCCATTTCCATAAAGTCAGTAATCAGAAATTTATATAATGATTAATATAACAAACAATTCAATAGTTTACTACTAGCCAAATAGAGACTGCAACTAAAACTAAACCATACTAAAATATTTTTCTCTGCTGAAAAATACCGAGTAGGCAAACGCACGACCTTCAACAATTACGCTTTTTACCATCATTGTTATGGTAATATCAATTTTTACCATAATTGTTACGGTAACACGATGACAAACGCCACTGCACTGCCGAGCTGCCAACGACGACAGGACCTGGGACAACACAGACCTTTCACTTGTGCCTCACTCACGTCGTCACACACAGAGAGGTGCCGAATTTGCAGACAACTCTCCCATCGCGACAGATTCTTCTCAAATTTAACGTGCAAATAAAGCACCAGCGCAACCACAGCGCTGCTCACACGCGTTTCCCCCTCACGGCGGAAACACCTTCGAGAAGCAACACACTAAAGCAGTTCATTAATGAAAGGGTGAACGGGCAACCACAGGAAAATGACCCATAATAGCGCAAACTACTTTTTTATCCTAAAAAAGACACTGTTGGATTTTATCCATCGTCGGACCCACGACCGTCTCTATCACGACAGCAGCTGCAGGCACCTGAGACCAGCCGCGGTGGGACCGAAGCGACACGAGCGCTGTTTTGTCACGGTTTTGTCACGGTTTTGGCACAGACACCGGGAGGTGAGGCCCGGGAGCGGCTCCGGGACAGACCGCGGGCCCTTCGGCGGGAGGCAGCGG